AAAAACTTCCACATAGTTTACCGCCCTCCCTCCAGATGTTCCTCACCGACTGACCCAGCCCTCGACTCTCATCTGAAAGGACACAAGTGCCTGGCTGTGAATACTCGTGTTTGGCCGTTAATCAGTTGTCATTGTCAGTGCGTAGAAAAAACAATTAAAGTCTTCCTCACATTTTTTTTTTCATATTTAGTTCGAGGTGTGCGACCTTTTTTTTGTAACAGACTTGTCTGTGGTGCCAAAGTTTTATGTGTGAATGGTGAGCTTCACCCGCACGGTTAAGGACCTCTGTCACCAAGGTAACACAAAGGTTGAATCAGTTGTTTTTTTTACAAATCGGTCTGTTTTTAATCCTGAGTGGTAAAAATATTTATATATCGATTCAGCACTGCCCACTACTTCTAGCGTTTTTGGCCAATACCGAGAACTTTAACAAATCCATACAAATACTTTTGACTTGTTCCACTTTTATAACTTGTGTTACTCTTTTGGTTGTGGTGATCTTTTATAATCTCTTTGTTATTCCTTCACCACAGCTCGTCTAATTAGGGATTACCGAGATTCTCTGACTGTACCTCATAATCTCATGTCCGAGCAGACGCAACAGTTGGTGGCAAAGCCCCTCGAAGAGTCTGAGAATGGTTCCTGAGGAACACGTAAATAAAAGCTGTAGATTGCGGTAAATATTTGTGTATTCAAAACTACGTCAGCAGCAGTCAGCGGTAACTATTCCTCTCTCATGACACACAGCGGTAGTTACGAAATGTTTCTCATCTGCCAATCATCTAAAATCTGCCAAGTATTCTGTTTTGGTGAATTACGGAGACTCGTGTTGTGTCTTCTGGATATTTTATAAGAACATGCTGATGAAAAGGAGGCACAGAAATTGCTCAACAGAACTCTAAGTGTGGGAAATGATGCTGTATGTACAATCAGGATAGCGATTATAATTACAATGGAAAAGTATTGTATGTATTTTAAATCTATTGATACTACTTTGATAATGATGTAAAATGTACAAAGGCTGAACAGGAACTATAGGTATGTAAAGTATACTGTGTATAGAGGAGTTTGCTCCAGGGGTGGGATGGGCATGGGGTTCATTCTGTTCATGGCGAAATTGTTTAAAACAGAATATTGATGATTCTTGTCTGTGATGTAGACAACGTCAATGTTTTTTGTTTTTTTGATAAAAAACAAAGATATATGGGAAAAAAAATCTGAAAAATGTGTCTTTTATTGACTGTGTGTCTGAAGTTAAATATCAAAATCTGACGGGCTGTTGTGGTCAACTGAGTCTAGACTGAGTTTTAAAGGATAAGACAGTGGACAGAGGGTGTGTGTATTTAATCCTGGGTGACTCAGTTTAAACAGATGGCATTTTGGCACCAAATAAGTTCATATAGGTAAATAACGAAACTGCAGTGCTTTCTGTTATTTTACTTCTCTAAGAAGAAGAAGAAGAAGAGGGGGAAATGACTGATGGAACTGCTAATGCACATTAACAGCTAAATATCTCAAAAATCTTAAATATCAGTTCAAAGTTCCTCCATGGAGCCTTTGCCTTCATGAAAAAATACAACAGAGATAAAGAAAATGTTGATTTCATATTTTTAATTTATACAGGAAATCACACTTAAAGCAAATAATCGTTTGTTGCAGTTTCTGTCAGAGCTCCACAGGTTGTTAATGTTTGATGTAGAAGCATGAAACAGCCAGTAGAGGGCGCATGATGATAAGAACCAGCTGTTTTTTTACCCAACAGCCGTAAAAGGCTGATGGGGTATTGTCGTCACGCAGCGTGGACACCTAAGTTTGTGAAGGGTACATCTTCTAACAATCTAGGATGAGTTTGAATCTCAGTGACCTTAACCTCAAGGTCAAAGGTCAAGTTCTCTGAAAATCTTTTGAACACATAACTCAAAAAGGAAGTCACACAGGATTTCCAAAATCTTGTGCAATAACTGCAATAACTTCAGAACAAGGCAAAGCAGGATTTTGAAACTGATGCTATAGCTGTGTATGCTGGTAGGCTGAGGGATAGCACTGACGGTTGCCAGTATTTTTGTGCTGTTTTGTGGTCAACATAGTGCTGCCACCTTACAGCTTACAGGCCTTCTGTGTGGAGTTTGCATGTTCTCCTTGTACATGTGTGGACTTCTTTTTACAGCCCCAAAACATACATGTTAGGCTAATTTGTGAATTGAAAATGGCCATGGATGTGAGGTTAATAGCATCAAGTGCTGTGTGAGAATGTATGGTTAAAATGTGTGACTTATAGTTTAAAATGCTTTGAGTGGTCAGTAAGACTAGGAAAACACATTACATTATATAATTATATACATAGGAACCTTTAAATAGCCAAAAATGTAATTCAGCATCATCATGTACAAATCAAATGTGGGATTTAAAAAGTTTCCAGTTTATCAAATTGCACTTACTGAGCAGTTCTTAGCTTTGAAAATAATCTCTCATCTTCCTCTCCTGTGCTCTTTCTTAGATCATCCTCCATCTCTCAGTGTCGTACATCAACGTTTCCTTTTCTCTCCCTGGCAAATACACCTGCAGACATTTAGCTAGCAGATGCATTTTATCACAAATGTTTGTCACAAAGTGTTGCTGAGAGCTAAATATACATATTAGTCCATACTCGTCCTGTTTGTCCAGCTGTTTGAAAAAAAGAAAGAAAACAACGCCAGGCTGCAGCATACGACAAATGAGCTAATTCGTCAGTAATACTTCATCAGCATTAATCTGCTTATCAGACTTCAATGCTCATCAATTGAAGGTGTGCCGGCCCACTTCAACCCCTGAGCTATAGATGAGGTTTAAACAATACAATTCATTGCACTCTTGTGTTTAATGGAGACTTTGTAATGTTATGCTTGGGGAAGGGATGGGACTCCTCTAATGATACAACAGGCATAAGGCAATTATAGAGTTAAGAGCCCAGATCTGCGAGAGCAGCTGTGATTGAGAACACAGTGTTCTGAGACATTCTTTGTTCTGATTTTCTGTACGATTCTTTTGTAGCCAAAAGTGTTTTTCTCTGCTAGATGGTTTTCTGAATCTCTAACATGGTGTGGGAGATTTATTTCTCACTTGCAAAACAAAAGTGTACAGTGACTTCTAGTTGGAGTTTGGAAGGCTGAGTAACAAGCAAAAGTGCAAAAGTTGGCCTATTCATGGTGAAATAAAACAAATTCTCTCTTCTGGTTGTTACTTTGATACACAGCTATCTTGGGTTATGTAACTTCATTTAAAGGATGCTGTGACCATTTGGGATCTGGTGTGCACAGTGAGAGGAGGTAACTTACCTACTTCATCTGCATGCTTGTTACTCATAGGCTGTTAAAGCCAGTGTTAAAGTAAATGATATCTTGTCTGAGGACTTTGTATTAACTCGATTTCAAGATCTGACTGCCAGTGGCTAAGGAAGGACACAAGGCTGCAAATGTGTTGTTTGATGAGAATGGAAAAACCACCACTTGTAGCAGAGTCCATGGAATAATAATCAGTCGTGCTGATTTTAAAGATTTTTTTCCCCACAAATATAAAATTCTGTGTATAAAAGTACACCATTCATTTCTTTATATTTTGCTAGGGGCAGCGTTACAATAGGTACAATAGTTACCAGCGACTTATTGACACATTGAAACACGTGGAAATGCAGTATGAGAGTTTGCACAATTCTATCAAGCTTGCAAGTCAATATTTGGTATGGCTGACTGACCGATAGTGACTGATTTTGTGTTATTGTATTTTTCTATCCAGGTATACTTTTCCTTCATTGGCATTGTGTTTGGAGTCATTATTAAGCTGGAGAATCAAGCTGTTGCCGGTGTGACATTTCCCAGATGGTAGTACTGTTGTACTCCTCTCATGACCTCCTTCATATTGAAATTTTAATTAATCACTCCATTGGACATGTTGTCACAGATTTTCAGTCTATCTATCTATCTATCTATCTATCTATCTATCTATCTATCTATCTATCTATCTATCTATCTATCTATCTATCTATAAAATGCACACAACTTGAATGAAAGGAGAACAAATGATAAGTTTCAATGACAGTCTGCAAGTACCTAAAGAAACAAATTAAAATCAGTTCTTTCCTAAGTTGGCTGTTACACAACACTGGTTTATCCCTTATTGCTTTTGCTTGCTTGAAAACAAAACTTTGACAGACCTTGAGAAAGCCTGGTGAAGTATTGCTCAAGAACCATTCCAAAAATACAAGAAACTCTGGCTCACTGGAAGAAAAATACGGCGAAATTATGGATGTTTTAATATTTTCGTTTACAAAAATAATAATACAAAAATAATTTCATCATTTACAGAAATAAAACCAAAAAACAATGTCTTCAATAATCAGCAACTCGATGGGGTGTTTAAGTTTATTTTGAAAAACACGAAAGCATGTGAACCGGAAGCTTTACCGGTTCTTCTTGTGCCATGCGGCTCCGTGTCAAAGATCCCGAGAAAACTAAGAGGACCACTAAGTGTCGCTGACGGCTTCTGCATCTTGACATCTATTTAACATTTACGACTATATAATAACCATGTAAATCTACAATGTAATTTAAAAAAAAGTCCAATTACATTACAGCATTTGCAAATTCTGCTTAGTTAGACTGCTAATTTTCTGAGCAGAGTCGTTGGGTGACGGCAAGTTTCGTCCCTGGAATTTAGAGCAGAGAGGGCGCTCTCAACTTTTCATTTTCTCCTCCAATGACGCAACCTCTGTACTCTCCTCATCACCTCCCAGGATCGTTGATGGGCAATGCATTGATCATAGTGCAGACAGTGAGGACAGGCGCTGCAAATGAGATAGCAATAAGATCAACGTTGAACGGTAGCCTGTTGGAGTAAATTAGCATGATGTTAGCTTTGGTTAGCAGCTCCCTGAATTAGCGTATGTCTGACACATAGACTCCCAAGTTAACCTCTCCTACAAAGTTTACCTCGAAGCTCTCCAGTAGTGTTTGTATTCTGAAATTACCGTATTCCGTCTATCTGTTCAGCTCTCAGAGTGAACCCACGCTGTAAGAACATCAAAGCAGTAAGTTTCTTTTGATAATTTCAGCGTGTTGGATTTTATTGATGTTAACAACCTAAGTTATCTCTCATACCTGTTGGACTTTTGGCTCTACCCGTGGCATACAGCATACATGTGTCATTTTGTTTTAAAGAAGCGGGGAAAACAGATGTTTAATTTATGCCACAAAAATAACATTTACCAGCCTCTGCTGGTGACGTGTGAGCTGAGAAAGGCCAATGACAGTAACGTTGGAGCCATGTTTCATCAGCTGGGGAAGGGTCACCACCGTGTCCTTACAAGTGGGAATAGTTTAGTAGCAGAGAGGGCAGCTGTGAACCACTCATTTAGTTATAAATGCGCTCTGAGGTTTTAGATTGGCACGCATCGAGACCACACAAGGCTTAAAAGACAGGACTGAACTTGCTTTTGGTAAACCGCAGGTAAAGTCTGCTTTTCCTCTCCACAGGATCCACTTTTTTGCGCTTTTCTTAATTCAAACGTAATGGTTTTGTTGAACAAGCACACAACTCAAATGCACAAGGGATGGCAGTGCTGTAAGAGAGCTGCAACCCAAGCAGGACACTTTTGGTGCCAGTGAACCGTGGCAAACCAACCAAGCTAATCTAACCTTGACTTTTCTGGTCATTGATTCTAGTGGTCAACCATTTCCTTCGTGGATAATACTTCTAGTCATCAAATTATAGAAGGAAATTAAATAAAGTTAGTAGGACAAGGTTGAAATGATTTGGATGTGTTCCAAGGACATGCCAGCTGAAGGATGTTGAATATAGAGTAACCAAGCGGGAAGGAAAGAAGACCTTAGAGGAAACTCGTGGACGTAGTGAAGGAGGGATAAAGTACATGCACACAGCCTGGAGAAGAAGATCATTTGGAGTTTAGAAAAGGAATGCCTATGTAGCACTGAAGTTTACAGTTGTGCAATTATGGGCTTTATTTTACTGCTTGATATCGTCTAACAGTCTATAGACAAACTGAATATTTCTTTCACTTTGCATTGTTTTATGTCCCAGGTGTAGATAAAACTTTCAGATGTAAGTTTTATTTTACACCCCAAAGTGCAAAATCGGATCATGTGTGCCCTATTTTTAACATGCAAGCTCATAGGAAGATCTACCTGCGTCTTCACATTTTATTTATTTTCACATTTTGAGCAGTTCTGGTTGAAATTGCAACTAATTTAGTGTAGTAGTAATGAACCCAGCTGCTCTTTCTCTCTGGGGGATCTAATCCACACATAATTACAGTGTGAGGGGAACATTGAACAATGAACTGATTATATTTTTTACTAAAACACACCATTTATAGGTTTCTGTTTTTTCCCAGGTAGCTGAGAGGAGGGGAGACCTTTTCTGAACTACCATGGCTCCACATCCAGTAGTCCAGGCCATCATTGATCTCTCTGCAGGAGCCACAGGTAAATGCAGTAGCCTGTCACTTAAAACTCTTTCTACAGTAGCCAACATAAACATGTGCACATGCACTCTTTAATGTCTATGAAGTAATCCTGTTGCTTTTTAGTGCTGACAAAACCTCACCACCTATGACAGACTGAAGGATGTTTTGATGACTCCTATGTTTTTCTGGCTCATTTGTTTCAGTGTTTCTGTTTCTCGCCTGAGCCCGCTATGATACTAATCTCTCACGGCACATATTGGCTGGCTTTTGTGAAAAGTTTGCCTTTCCTGTAGCAACTCTCTGTATGTGCCGGTTCACATCTGTTTTTTTACTGTTTTTGTACTTTCGTCCTCCCCAGGGGGAGCTGCGTGCGTCTTCAGCGGGCAGCCTCTAGACACAGTAAAGGTCAAAATGCAGACCTTTCCTAAGCTGTACCGCGGTTTCATCCACTGCTTCATGTCTACCTACAAACAAGTGGGCCTGCGTGGGCTCTACCAGGGCACTAGTCCGGCGCTGATGGCCAATATCGCTGAGAACGCCGTGCTCTTCATGAGTTACGGCTTCTGTCAGCAGGTCATCCGCTTCACAGCCGGCCTTCACAGCAAGGCTGTGCTGAGGTAGCTGTTCTTTATGTTAGCACAAAGCCAGCCCTGGGTTTGTGTGTGTCTGATCTCTAACCGCCTGCTGGTCTTTCTGTCTTTGTTAGTGACGTGCAGAAAGCCTGTGCTGGCTCAGTAGCGTCCATCTTCTCATCGCTAGTGCTCTGCCCCACTGAGCTTGTCAAGTGCCGACTACAAGCCATGCATGAAATGGCATCATCAGGCAAGATTGCCAGTAGCCAGAAGTAAGTAAATAGCCTAACAGTAGGGCGGGTGTTTCTCAAGCGCAGTTTGTTAATGAGCAGTTGTGTTTAAATATTCATCTACTAAAACGCTATTTTAGTGTCTCGTGTACTGAGCAACCGTTCCCTCTGCTCTGTCTGAAGCACTGTGTGGTCGGTAGTGAGATTCATCATAAGGAATGAGGGACCACTGGGCTTCTTCCAGGGTCTGACCACCACTATAGCCAGAGAGGTCCCCGGTTACTTCTGCTTCTTCGGTGCCTACGAACTCTGCCGCACAACTTTTGCAGACTACATGAAATGTGGCAAGGATGACATAGGTACTGCTGTAAATGTTTCCCTATGTTATTAAAAGGTGTTCTGGTCAAATGTGGATGTTAAATAAAGTGAAAAAAGAGTAGACACAAATGATATACTTTATTAACTTACATATGTTATTAAATGTTACTTCTTATAATATAATGTGCTTATATTTGACTTGTGAAGTGAAGAAAATTTTAATACAGTCCACATCTGTGAACGGGATTTCTGCCTATGTCACCTTCGATATATTGACGGAAGTGATGAAGCTAATTACTACCCTACTTTCAATGTCATCAAACTACAAATATGTCTCTGTTAGGATATTTCTGTCAGTACATTTCCATTAGTACACCATGTAAACTGCATACCTGCTAGGTGCATGCATGTTAAAGGTGTTGCAAGTCAAACAGAGTAGGCTGCATGCTCAGTTACAGCAGGTACAACATTTGACTGTGGCTGCTGGAATAACCTTTTCTTCTTCAGCTTTCTATTGTACATTTGCTGGCATGCTTGGAAAAACGGTCCTGTTACATGACTCGGTTTCGATTGCTTCACATTTGAATCTGTAATATTTTCATATACAGAGGAGTTAATGGTTGACTTAATGACTGCAACCTACCTAGGTCATGTGGCGGTATATTAAGCCCAAATCATCACCCCTCCTCCACCGTGCTTGACAGTTGTTATGACGTTGGTCGACTTTGGTCTCCTCAGGTTATTGGTCCAGACGTAGTTCATTCAGATGCATTTTTGATAACCTATGATCTTTTTAGATTGAGCACGTTTTCTCCTGGCAGCCCTTCAAAGCAAGCATTCTGGGTTTTTTTTTTTATTGTACTGTCAGGAACTTTAATATTTAACATGCTGTGTATTTTGGAGGTGTGGCTCCCATTGTGTTCAGCGGCGGTTTTGGAGGGGCGTGTCTGTGGTTGGTGGTCTACCCTATGGATTGCGTCAAATCTCGTATTCAAGTCATGTCTATGACGGGAAAACAGGCGGGCTTTTTCAAGACCTTCATGACCATCACTCGCACTGAAGGTAAGCACATGAAGGGTTTTATAGTATTTTCCAAAAGCAGTCTTGGTGTAAAAGACTAAAGCTTTCAGCAGTTTCAGTTTTCTCACTGTAAGCTCAGCTGTTTCTTGTGTTTAGGTGTGAGGGCGCTCTACTCTGGTCTTACCCCCACCATGATCCGCACCTTCCCTGCTAATGGAGCTCTGTTTCTGGGTTACGAGGCCAGCCGGAAGCTCATGATGAGGCAGTTTGACAGCTAAAACGGTCCACATCCTTAACACAAATGAAGAAACGGCGAAATATTATAGCCATATGACCTTATACGTGGGCTCTGAAAACTGCCACACTCCATCTCCTGTGAGACTGAAGCAACTCGCTTTTGACGCAGCGTTTGCATCACAGTATTACTCTGGTTCTTACATAGAAGAATTTCTAGTTTTAGTTTTTTAATACTTCGGCCACTTTGTTAGGTACAGCTGTTCTGCTGCTCATTAACCAGCCAATCGGATGATCTGATGTCGTCGTGTTGGTGTTGTTCCCAGATCATCATGAAAATGTTGTTCCAGGTTCAACATTGCAAGTGACCAATCACATTGTTGTGACGTTATTGTTTTGCGCGCCAAGCCATTCGTGCATTCATGAAATTCCAATGTTGCAAGGACTATCAGTTCTGCTTACCGTTTATTAAAGGGTCAGGGTCCGTTGATCGGAGGACAGAGGCGGTTTCTCGCAGTTTAAGTAGTTTTTTGTTTTACGGCGGGTTTTTTTTTCGGTGTCAAAAGTATGACGTCACAACATTCTGATTGGTCACTTGCAATGTTGATCCTGGAACAACATTTAGTACGATGATCTGGGAACAACACAAACACGACGATATCAGATCGTGCCCAGCGAATCACATTCATTGTTCAAACTGCGCATCAGAAGACGCATGATTTTGGTAAGTGTGAACACGGCGGGGTTGTTGGAGTATTTCAGAAACTGCTGGTCTGCTGGGATTTTACTAGCAGGAACTAGCAAGGTGTACCTAATAAAATGTCTAAGTATAGCACAGTATTGAGCAAACAACCTCTTTACAAGGAACTGCCAGTTTTCTCTTCCGTTTATTATTTTACCTCTACCTCAACAAGGTCATCGTCACATGTAACGATTCTTTCACATGGGATCGGTTACCCAGCTAAAGAGGAGAGTTGTTGTGAAAGCCCCCCTGTGGTCATACAAGCAACGCTCGGGGCTCTTATCCACTCCACATGCACTACTTGAAGGCACAAATACATTCCTGTCTCTTCAAGTTGTGCAGAGACATGAATAAACAGCTCCTTTAGGTTTTGAGTTTATATTTAGGGCAAAACTTAATATGACTATGTTAAAGATAGTAAAGTGGCATATGCCATTTCATTAAATTTTATTAACTATTTTTAAATTTTATTAACTCATTATAGAATCATCGGCAGCTATGTGGACACCTTAATTTGGGATCTCACCTGGGTTTGTCTGTATGGGTAGTTCTGCTCATAAATTCTGCTGCTTTCAAAAGGAACATCGATATGTTTTAAATCATAGGCTGATTTTTCTTTGTCATGGTTGCCATACCGTACTCCACTCCGTGCTGTGATTCTTCAGTATGTTGAGAACCAGCATTAATCTTTTTTTCCTTGTGTAACCTTTGCCTGCTTATGTGCCATTTCCCATGTTTTTTCCCCTTTCAATGCTGAGTTTGCAGTTCAGAATTCTCAATCCTGTTCTCTTCAGTTTTATTCAGAAGTGTAGATATTTTATCCTGGAAATGCTAACAAAAGATGGAGAACTGTTTGTACATCAAACCTGATATTTATTGTACTAATGCAGCTTACATTAAAAGTAAGATTTGTTTTATTTTCCTTTGACTGTAATTACTGTATTACTTTGACTGTAAAGCACAATTATTCAAACGTCACAACAAAATGCAGTATGATAACTGTAGCTGCAGCGTTTTAAACCAGATTATCTAAAACTGGCCATCTAATTGGTGTAAATCATTTCTACTGTTAAAATTATTGTTGTGCATTTTAATATTTAAGTTTTCTGTTAATATATGAAGCATTAAATACATAAAAAGTTATTTTATTAAACGGTGCAACTTCAAAGAGAATGTTTTATGCAGACATGAAGTTTATCGTCATTCATCCAGCAGGGGGCGCCCATCAACTGTCAGAAACTCTCAGATTATGTGAATTAATGAATACATAAAAAAATAACCACATAATAATCCAGAGAGGAGAGGTGAAGTCTGAATTGTCTCTACATAAATCTGAGAAGTAAATCATTTTTACCTTTTTTTATTTTTTTAATTTATAAATTTTTTAGGCGATCTGAGCTTCCTTATTGCAGGTTCCACACAGACAGCCGAAGAGCCCGTTGATCATCTGTATGGCACAGAGGATCACCTGCAGGCAGCTTGTGGCCAGCAGAGTGCCGAACAGTCCAAGGTTAAACTGCACAATGTTCTTGGGCTCTGTGCATAAGCTCCACAATTTATCGTTCTTCAGGTAGTTGTTGTCACTGTGCAAGACAGGAGATTTATAAATGACTAAGAATTAAGAAACATATCAAACATGTCCTGAGGAAGTCACTCCTGTGCTTTTTTTTTACCCTGTGAGTTCTTTAAAAGGCGTTGTCCAGATCAGTACAGTTTTGCAGAGAGGCCCATTCTGCAAACCAAGTGCTGCAACAATTAAACTGTACAGGCCTCCAGCAACACCCACTGCAGCAAATGCAATTGATAAGAACATCTGCAGAGAGAGTAAATGATAAAGGTCAAATGCAATCATGATACAGTTTAAAGACACATTTTTTTTCCCATCCTGTTGATAAATAAAACTGGTAGTTGTAGGTGCTCACTAAGCATCTGGTGACATTTTTCTTTCAGTGTTTGCTTTTCCCATAAACTGTAGATTCATCAAGATTAACTATAAGACAACTAAACATACTAAAACAGGTCTGTTACTCCCTCCACAGAGTTTGTTTTGCTAGTGTTTATTTCACTCTGTATGTAAACATGATACCTTAAAAGGTTCGAAATGAATTCTGATAAAACCTAGCGTCAGGTCATGTTAGCAATCCATTAAAATTTGGCTTTAAGGTCTTCAAGGTCGACTTGATGTTTTATTGGCGGAAAATTGGGGGAAAGCTTTATAATTTAGAAACCACAATTCTTACAATTGTGCTGTGTATTGTCAGCATATAGAAAATACAGTATACAGATTTAAAATATTTCATGTTTGACCTCTGACCTCTCCTTCAGGTCACATGTCACAGTGATAGTAATCATATAAATGCATAACAAGTTGAATACATGTCCATGTTCGTGAACGGAACAAAACTAGTGATCAAAAACGTTTTCAATTAATATTTATTGCTAAAAAATTTAATGAAATGAATGCTACACTTGTAATCTATCCAGATTAAAAACTATATAGTCAAAATTACCTAAAAAAAAAAAAGAGCTTGTAACAAGGCAGATGACAAATGCTTGCACTTTTCACTTGTTTTTAATGTGCAAAGAAAACAAAATGAATATATAGAAAATACAATACTGTTTCCCTTAAATGTAAATATTACCCAGAGAGCAAGCTAACTCAGGTGCTACTGGTTGGTGCTGTGTTAGGTCACCTTTTTAATTTCTGTAGCAGGCTCACATTTCACAGTGTAATCGTAGCTTAACTTTAGAAACAACGGTTCATTAACAGGACTACTTTAAGTTTTGATTTTATTCAAATCTATTAATAAAATCTGTTACTTTATTATAATATTAAAATCTCTCAACTAGTCGCAGAAGATGGCCACTCCTCCCTGAGCCTGGCTCTGCCGGAGGTTTCTTCCTGTTAAAAGGGAGTTTTTCCCTGTTGGGTTTTTCTGTGTGTGTGTGTTGTTGTAGGGTCTGCCTTACAATATAAAACGCCTTGAGGCGACTGTTGTTGTGATTTGGTGCTATATAAATAAAACTGAATTGAATTACATGGATCAGTCCATTCAGTGTCAACACAGTAAGATCATCTAAAAAGTAGCTCAGCTGAAACTGGACTTGTTCAAATATTAGAAAACTGGTCAGCCTCAGGATATTATGATATAACAATTTTGTCTAAATTCTCCACACGCGATGTGCGTCAAATATCACATCTCTATAAGTGTTTTAAATGTACAATCACTTTCATATTTACATTTTCTGAGAGCTTAAATGTCTATGACTTTACTCTGAAAATATATTTAAAGAGTGTGTTTATTAACACAAAGTATTATCAAAGAAAAGGCATTATGTATTTTGAAATATGATGTAGTTTCAATCAATATCTTTTATAATAAAAATTAATTTGGTCCAGTGTTCTGATTTTTCCTTTTTGTCTATTTACTCCATTTAACAATCCATTGAAATATTTGTAATATTGTTTTATTTCATTTAGTTCATTTTGAAAAACAAACAAAAAAACACAGGTAACATATCCTGTACCAAACCAGTGAGAACTTGCAGTTTTAATTTGTTTGCACAGTCTTAGCAATGACAAAAATAAAGAACATTTTTACTTTCATGAAGTGAAATTGTATCTTTTCCATTTAAACAGGTTGTATATGGACAATTACTACTGGGTTTGGTACCAAAAGTGTACATATAATAATCTTTAAATGAAATAAACATATTATGTTAAGTAATTATCTGCATATGCATAAGGGAGGCTGCAGGGAATTCAGAGACACAACTTGTTAAGATTTTCAGCGTTACAAATATAAAATGATAAAATATAATTTATGATAAGAAAAAAACAACATTGGGTGTAGATTATTATAAGTAAGGCAAAGCAACAGAAATGAAAAAATGTCAACTTATTTAAGACTTTTCTAACTTTCATGGGTAACGGAACTTGAACAGAGATGATTCAGGTCATGGCTTTTTTAGGATACTTGTAATAAAATCATCAGTGATCATTGTAAAAAAAATAGGTAATTTTGGATTCATATAATTGTATTATGCGGTAGAGGCGGTGAATAATGTAAGAGAAGCTTTAAGACATATGTATTGAGGAGGGCTGCAGCTATCAGTTATTTTAGCAATTGAATATTTTATCTATAATTCCATCAATTTATTATTAAGTGTAATTGGATAAGAACTACTTTTGTCTTATTAATGAGAAATAATAAATATTCAAAAGAGAAAACAGAGGCATCTTAAAATGAACTGCTCATTTTAGAAATTGCAACATTTTTAATAATTTAAATAAATAAAATTTCAAAAAATTAAACCCTCCCATAGTATTCACATGTAATTTTTTTTTTAAAGAAATTTGTAAAGAAAAACATTTCTTAATGCAAAAATAATTAAATGATCTCAAGTATAGTAAAGTAAAATAAAATAAGGTATACCTATAATGTGTCTTCTTGAAAGGCTTTCAAAGGCAAAAAAAGGTCTGACAGTGTTGTATCGCCTGATGAAGTAGATTTTGTGTGTGTATGTTCATGTGTATTTATTTTTGTGCCTTTCCTTTTATTTAATCTGAGTGTTTAAGTGAATGAGTG